ATACAACAGGGGATAGAGGTGAGGGATTATTTTATTACCACATAATGAAGGAACAGAAAATTGTGAATCAATATGGCACAGTAGATAGAGGTCTGGATTCAGTTAGGAAAACCAGGGTTCTCTGATATACTAGCTGCAGGAACACTGGCAAATCACTAAATCTTTCTCAACCCTATTTTTCTTATTTGTAAAATGAAGCGACTAATACCTGTGGTAAACAGAAGGTTGTTGTAAGGCTGAAAGGAAATAATGTATGTAAAACTCTTGTAACAGGACAAAGAAGTCCCAGGGCTACTCATTTATTTTTGTTCCAGCTTCCTATCTATTTTGTACGGGTCAGAAAGGAGTCTTTTTTGTTTTCTGGTTGGTTTTTTTTTTTTGGCAAGGGTAAGGTGGTGCCAAATTCAACCTGCCCAGAGACAGAGGAAAGCAGATACTGTTTTCCATACTTGTTAAAATGTTGCTCAATTATTATTTTCCCTTCAAAGTTTTTTTTGTTACCAGGATTTTTTGTAATCATTAGAAACTACATTAGTTTCCAACTGTTGATTTATCATGCATAATACTTCTTTCCTTATAGTATACTAAATGGAACAGGGAACTCTTGCTTTGGACTCTACAAAAGCCTTAGTAGATAAATTCCAAAAGGCTGAGAGACATCCATTCCCAGAACCAAAAAGATTATTTCTTTTCAAAGGAGTAAAGGATGACTGCAGAGAGATTCAGGAGATTTTTACTCAGTCGAATCCCACTGATCAGAATTGAGTAAAATCAGCTCTATATACCACGGCCCTTTTCATAATAGTGGCTGAGGCTCAAGAAATACTATGGAAAGGATGCAGAGACCTCAGTCAAGCAAGGTCCTTACTGATGTCCAATTGCAAAGAGTTAGACTGCAGCCCCCACCTTCTGTGGGATAATTGTTGACTGGTTGATAAAATTCCACAAGCCCTTTGTCCCCTTCTCTACCTGAATCCAATCCTGAAGTATCATATCAGAATTGACTAACTGAATCAATTAAGTCAGAAGTAAGAATAATTAACAAGAAAGTTGAGATTGGCTGAGGAAACTCGGTCATCCTATGTAGATTTAATATATAAAATAGATCAGTTCAAAATCAAAATTATTCAAGCACCTGGTAGAGGAAAGATTTGAGCACACAGAGAACAGAGCATTCCAACTAGATCAACCGACCAAAGAAACAGAACCCCAGATATCATCTCTTCCTCCCCACTCACAACCTGGCCAGAGGAAGACCTCATGAACTTTGGAGGTACAGGTCTTCCCTTCTTCCCATAACCATCCTACCAGCATCTCTGGATTAGCTGACTGCAATGTCTGCATCAGAAGCCAAGGACAAATTCAATGTAGATTCAAAGATCTACAAAGAGCCAGCAGAAAAGTGATACCATGACTCTGGGGAACAACTTGACAACTCCAGCCAAAGTGTGGTCAATCCTTTGCCCTAAGTACTTTAAGCTTGAGCTCACTTTTCCCTGGACTCTGTGTAGTGGTAGGAAATTATGCTCTTAGTTTGAGAGGAGAGATGTTTTGTACCTACTACATCACCAGAGTAATTAACCACAAAACCTACTTAAGTCTAGCTAGCTAATTATTATCTGGCTGTAACTATGGTGAGAAGCACACAGGTGGGTGTTCATGATAATCAATCCCTCAGGCTATTCCTTGAACCCTGAGTGGAAAACGTAGCTTCCCTTTGGGGACTCAACTCTAATATAATGGCTGTTTGACTCTGGGCAAGTCACTTAACTCCTCAGCACTGTGGGCAACTCTGTAAGAGTATAACTCGCATGAAAGGTGCCAAATAGCATTGGAAGAGGGAGTTTCCCCAACTGAGAGTTCCCTATTCCAACAGCATCACAAGTTCAGTAAATATCCTGATCCCTTAACTTCATTTTATTAAATCTGACTGATCATTCTAGCCTAGTTAGTTCTTTTTGAACCCTGACTGTCATAAAACATAGTGCCTATCCTTTCCAGCCCTGTCATCTGTAAATTTGATAAGTATGCTATCTATGTCTCTACAACTATCATAAATATGCACCAAGGTCTACTATGTATAAAGTACTATCTATTCATAGGAAAAGGTGAAATGGTGGGAAATCTGACGTTAAGAGCTTTTATTATGTCCTTTCCCTGCTTCAGTATTTCTGAAACTAGTTCATTTTCTCCACAAAAGCCAGAAAAAATTTTTTTTTAGAGTTTTAAAGTCAACCTTGAGTCAATATATAGATAGAATGATCTGGTATGAGAAAAGTTGTGACACATAAACCTTTCTCCAAAATAACATTATTTCCTTAGTAATGTCTACATTATCTCTTAGACTCTCCCAAGTCCTTAAAAAGGTGAAACAATACAGTGTCTTTAAAGATATTTTCAAAATACTCTTAATAAGCTTTTATTACTCTTTCAACAGTACTGTAACAGAAACATACTAATCCCCAAGTACAAGCCAGTATATGCACAAAATGAATATTTATTATGAACAGTCACATATTCCAATTGTGGAATCACAAAACTATCTTCGAGGAGGCCAGGAATAGTGTTATAGTTCAAATAGTGTTAAATAGTGAAAATATGTATATTATTTTTGATAGTAATACACCACCCCCATTCCCTATACCCCATGGGTGTGGATGGTTTCTGGTAGGCTGAATTTTACCATAACCAACACTGACAAAGTTGTCTTCAGGGAATGGGTATGACTTATTCACAAAAAAAAAAAAAATTAACTCAGTATATAACGATGAAGACAAGTTCTAAGGATAACTAGTCAAATGCTAGATCAACATGATTTCAAAAGGAGAACTTTAATTTTAAAGAATGAGAAACACACCAGCTGAGTTTTTGCCTTATGAATTTTGAACTCTCCTGATAAGCATTTTTAAGTCTTTTCTTAAAGTGGAGCACTGCTAATTTTCTAAGAGGTTAATGTGATCAACAGTTTGTGAATGATAACATCTGAGGACCACAGAACAGCTTCTACCCCACTACATATAGAGATTTATGGTCTTAAAAATCTCTTAGTTTCTCTTTACCTAAAAGTTACATTTGGAAAAGGCCACTTCGGCAAATTTCTACCCATATCTTCCTTTGTCCCTACTATACAGGCAAGAATCAAACCAGCACACAGATTTATGTATGCTCTGTTGTCCTGGTGCAAGGCAGTAAAATGAGAAGGGCAAGAGGAAGTTTACTAGAACTGTATATGTTATGTGATCACTGAGGAGGCAGTGTGACTAACCTCTAAGAAAGGGGCGGGGTTCACAGGAGCCTTGCATTGTCAGAGCCACCTCTTGTGGCCAATCCAAAAGCAGCAATAGCCTACACAAGAGATACAGCCAGCCCTACATCTGAAAGCAGGTCTGCCAAATGTCCTGAACTACTTGTAGGAACAATCTCAAACTTCCGGTATCTTAGAGTCTACTTTTTACAAAAATACTTTCCATTTTAAAAAAATTATTCCTATCTTTGAAAGCTAACAAGGTCAGACTCTAATTAGTGTCTTCTCAGTGAACGTGAAGCCTCATTCTATCTGACTCTGAAAGTTTGCTATGAATTTCCAACAGTTCCTGGGGTAACAAGAAAAAAGAAACCCTAACATTTGGTTAAACTAGTTCAAATTCTGGGCCTGCTTGATGTGTGGATTGAGAATTTAGCCTCTGCCACAAAAACTAAAACAAATGTTCTCAAACAATGGGCAGGAATTATGCAAATAAAAGGCCTGCAAAAGCAGCATAGATTTGACATGTGGAACTCCCAGGGCCTCTAAGTAGACTTTACTAGTCTTGTTGAATCATAGTAAATGATAATGTAAATAATTTTTTAAAAAACCATATGAGGAATTTCAATTAAAAAAAAACAAAATTAATGGGTCCTTTTCTTTTTGTGCCCAATGATGAACCCAACGTAATTTTTAAATTTACATATTAGATATTACTTCACATCCATGTAGTACATAAACTCCAAAATCAAATGTCTTTTAAATGTTTAAAAGCCAGACAAATTTCAACATCCAAATGGATAAAAATTACTACTGGATAAATCAGAAGCAACAAAAGCAAAATTAACAGTTAGGAGCTAAGACTTTAAAATCCTAGTTGGGGGATAGTTTTTTTCCTAAACTAAAAGCTAGGTGCAATCAATCTACAGCTCTACTTATAACATTGCAACTGTGTACTATCTAACTTGAGATGGGGTTGGCTTGACATTAAGTATATACATATGTTTAAAATAACCCATGTTTATGACATGTTTTAATAAAATCCTCCATAAAGGATCATCTTTGCTAAGGCAGATTTTTTTTTCTATTAAAGTAAAGAAGTTACATATATATTCCAACCTTTGGGGTTTTCTTCTTATTTACATGGCATGGAATTTCCCACATAATATTTTAAACAAAAATGCCCCAAATGTTGCCTGGAACACAACCAGAAAACTGTTTTTATTTTTTTAAAGTTAATTTAAAATTTTAAATTAAGTGAAAAAATTTAGGGAAGTAGTAGAGTAATACTGCATCCCTGACTCAGTAATTATAAATCCATTTTGCCATCATATGGACTACAAAGTATTATATGTCTGGATTACCCACCACTAAAGAATACCAATTTTAAAACCATAAGGAAAAAAAATTAGGAAGAGAAGTTTTCATCCTATTTTAATTAAACTAATCATTTCTTTTTCTCTAGAACTTCCAGAAACAAAATGGAAAATTAACAAGATAAAAAAAGATATAACAAAGTTAAACAAAGAGAAAGTAAGTACAAAAGACAAAAGAATAAATGTTTACTCATTTAAACATTTTAGCAACCATGACAGAATAGCCAGTTTGTTATGATTATAATTGCACATTTTTTTCTAATTTTTGTTTTTCTGCTTTTGGAGATAATTTCTTGAAAAGAAAAATCTTAACAGCCCTTTCTATGCCAAAATGCAATTTCAAGACAATAAAAAACAATAGATTTTAAAATTATTTATACCTTTAGCCCAGCATATTGGAAATGGGCTACAGCCGCTTTTCTCCATATAGATAGCACCTGCTGGTTTCAGGGCCGGTTGGCCAGCCAGTTCCAACAACATACACACAATTGTATAGAGATCAAGCCAGGATTCAGCATACAAAGTCCCAATTCAGTGCTCCAATAGTATTTGCTCCTGTAGGGGGGCTGGAAAGCTAATCACTCGAATGCATTCAATCCACAAGCAAGGCTAAGCTTCCCCTACATTTGTTCCTGTTTGGATAGTTTGCATCGAAATTTGGTAGGTATCACTTCTGTAACATTTTCCAGCAGCAGGAAGAATGCTTTTCAATTACAGAATCTTCTCATGCGTCCGCAATTTGAAACACTGACCATCCTTGCCAGAGTGAGCTACTGAACAGAATGCAACCAGCTAGTAATGTGACCGTGTGGGTCTGTATTCCTAGATTCATTCAGGAAGGGAGGGAGGGAAAAGGGAAGGAGGGAGAAAGGGGAGGGAGGAGAGAGAGAAGGAGATTAGAAAGCACCTTATTAATATGCTAATCTCACCCTTCTGTTCAATTCACCCAGCAGACTCCTGTTTACCAAACTGACAGCCTATTCCAAAATTGACTGAGCTGCAAATCAAGCTTGACCTAGGTCAGGTTTGTGGCTCTTTAAGCCATTTTTGTTGTTGTTTTCAAATTCTTGCCTCTAGCATTTTACCAAACCATTCTGATATTAGTGCAGTTAAAATAATTACCCAGATCAACAACTGGAAAAATAAAACAGAAAAGCTAAAGATTTCTGATATTAAATATTTTCTGTCAAATTGACACTTTCTCCATAAATGCAGCTTAACAAAAAAAATAAAAAAGCAAAGAGCTATGGCAGCTACATTCTTGTTGAATTATCCTAGAGAATACTGATGGACTCAAGACATACTTTTTTTTGTCTCCTAAACAAAATATGATTGAGGGATGAAATCATATACAGAGTAAGACAGCAAAATATCCTCACAATCAGTACCATAGCTAGCTCCCCTCCTAACAAAGCACAACTTACTTTTTTCCATTCAAACTGGGAGAAGACAAAGGTCATCTTTAAAAATGTAACTATCTAAAAACATTCCACTTCAGTTGTAAGAGAATAAATAGCTAGGAACTTTGTGTCCTCATTCTTTAGATTTATGTGATACAAAGTCATACTATGTATATTAAAAATTTGTCTAATACAAGGAATATCAATGTAATTATTTTTGTTTAACATAAACCTACAAACTGGACAGCTTTCATATTCTGGAATATAGTTGTCTGGGTGCCTGTAAGCAAGTCACAAAATCTCTTGTTTCAGTAATATCTCTGCATCAAAGTATCACAGTAAACACACTGTCAAAATGAAAAAGGAGAAAGATGGTTAAATTTTGTTTATGCCTTAACCACCTGATTTCTTAAAAGAAAATACTGATAATAATCAAGAGGACTTTAAGAGAATAAATTCATTAATGTCTGAAAAATACAGTGAAAACACACTTACACAAATTCTAACTAGAACAGAGGATGCTCACAAGGTTGACCAATGTTGCCTAACATCTGTTTTATTTTAAAATGTGTGTGATTAACCACTCTTGACCATGGTTTTGTCCTAGCTAGCCTACTGTGCCTTCAAGGCAACTAACACCAGCAGTCAGAGCTGCAAGTGACTACTAATGTCCCAGTGAAAAGGCACCATTTGTTGGTCTGCACTCTGACCTCTGACCTCAGGCAGCTCTGGTGAGGGGTAACAGAAAAACAGCAGGCCAAGAATTAAGCAGAAGAAATAAGCAGATGGGTCTACTAGAGTAGTGACTTTTATCAGGCTTCTTTTACTAGTAAGTAAGCGGGGAAGGTGGTAAGTTCTGGTCTATAAAAGACCCTTGCCACTGTTAGAAGAATAAAGCAGAGAGCAACGATGCAGAATGGGACAGCTGAATAAGCCCAAAAAGAACAGCCTGCTATCCAATTTGAACCGTTACCTGGGCACAGAGTTCGGATAAACCAGGCCACAGTCAACCTAATTTGGAGGTAATTTAGGTACTGTAGTTAGAGGCGCCCCACAGAGATGGCCCCAGTTGGCTGAGAACCAACCAACTGGGCCCCCTGCTGAAGCTGTCCTAAAGCCCCAGGGCATTTAAAATAAAAAAGGCAGCAAAATGACTGGAAAGGCAGGTTTGCTGTCTCCCAACTACCTATATACACAATGTCCAAAAAAGTCTTAGTGGGGTTTTAAGAAGCTCACAACTGCTTTAAGACTTTCCCCTGTGTATGGAGAGTCTTGCTTAAGTCAGATCCAATACAACAACACATGCCTAGCCTTGATTGGGTCTTTGCTTCTCTGGATTATCTGCGCTTTTTTGGGGGGGGGGGGTGTCGTACCTTTATTCCCCAGGAATATACAAGTAACTACAAAAATTGAAAGAATACTAGAAAAAGGAAAAAAAAAGTTTACATCAGAAGAGTCAAACTCAAATAGAAATGGGGACCACTGATCCATAGATAAGATTCCCTGTGACAGCATACTTACTTAGTTTTAAAATGTATTATCTGTTTTATTGTATTTTTGTTTATTTTGTTAAATATTCCTGAATTCTATTTTAATCTCGTTCTCGTCACACTCAAGAGTGTTGTGGGTTGCCATTTCTGGTCTAACAAACAGACATTTTAATAAATATTTATTAATTCACAAAGTAAAGTAAAAGCTGAGATTAAATGTATACATTCTCTGCAAAACCTTATGCAACAGTGGTTTCTATGTCAATTTCTGGGGCAAGACATTTTGGTTTGTAGAAACCTGAGTTCAAATCCAGCCTCAGACTAGTTGTGTGACTGTGCAAGGAATTTAATTTGTCTCAGTTTACTTGACTGTAAAATAGTGATAATAGCACATATCTCCCAGGGGTGTTATAAAGATAAAATGAGATAATAATTTCTAAAGCACTTAGCACATCACCTGGCATAAAGTAGGTGCTAAAAAAAAATACTTATTCCCTTACCTTCATAATCCAGAGTTTCAACTCAGAGTTGAAAAAGATTTCTAAATAAAGGTGGATCTAATACCAAAAATGTAACAAAAAAGCACTGGATTTGATCAAAAGAACTGGGTTTGCATCTGGACTTTATTACTTAATTGGTTGTGTGACCTTAGACAAATCACTCCATCCCTATAAATCTAAACTATCTTGATCTATTAAAAGGGAATAATATTTATAAAATCTACCTTCCACATTTGTTTTTTTTTTAAGAAAACACTCTACAGTACACATTACTACAGAAATGTGTCGCTACATTGTACAGTACACACTTTTACATATACGATCTCAGTTGAACCCAGACAGAAAGGACAGCTGTTATTATCACCATTTAATAGATGAGGCACAATAAAGGGCCACGTCCACACCCACATACAACCTCTTATTCACATTATCTTTTAAAATAAAATAAAAAAAGGAAAATAAAAAGACTGAAAACAGTAAGAAAGTACTATCTACTTGTACTGCCAAAGTTAACTGTCCATTAGTATGCCTAAGTATCATGAACTAAGTTCAAATCCACCTGGGTTCCTTTTTGAGTGGGAAAGGAAGAATGTGCTTCCATTTTCCTTGGCACTTGTATCAGCACCGATGTTATTTTCCCAATATTAACGATGTCACAAGGTTACCTTCTTTAAGACCAAAAAAAAAAAAAAAAAAGAAGAAAAGAAAGGCATACCAGATGATAATGGAAGTCAGCTGGCTGAAAACCAAGATGAAATGAACAGAATGCAGGGGAAAAGAAGAACATTATTAATAAGGATAGAAATTAAAACTGTATCTCACAATGGTATTTATGGATAACCCACAGCTAAGTACACACTGCAACATTAGTGACATAGGTTCAATTCAGTTTATGAATTCATTTCAATTCAATGAAACTCAAATCAAATCAATAAATGAGTCCTCATGAAAAGGACAGAATGAAATGACATACTTTCACTGAAACAAGTAGGTGGCAACTCTTATTTATGAAGCCTTATTTCTGTCAGTGGTACTACTATTCATTGAACGTCCCAGGCTAGAAACTTTGATCTCTTGAATTTCCTCCTACTTGAAAGACCATTCCTCCATCTCCCTGAAAGGTACATCTTTCTTCTCCTAAGTGTGGGTATCCCTCAAAGGACTGTCCTCAGTCCTCTTCTCTCTTCCTTGCCATCTGTAAACAGATGATTATCAAATTTATAGTTCCAGTTATATCTCACCTGAGCTTCAGGCCAAGCTTTCAAATTGCCTAATGGGAATAATCTGGCTATACTGTTGACCCTTCAAACTCAAAATATCTAAATCTGAATTCATTCCACCAAAAAGACTATCCCTCATAATATTTCAGTTGATGGCACTACTGCCTTTCCCAGTCAATCAATAAGCATTTATTAAGTGTTTGCTACATGCCAGGCACCGTGCTGGGTATGTAAAGAAAAACAAAAGATAGTCTCTGATCCAAGGAGCTCACAACTTACAGGGCAATAATGGAGACACCATACATCTTTCTATAAGCAAAATATAATCAAGATAAATTAGAGATAATCAATAGACAAAGACACTAGTATTAAAGTGGGATAGTAGGGGAGTCATAAGCAGGGTTCAAAACATTTTAGTCACCTTCCTCCTTCACTCCAAAGAGACATTCAATCAGGGCTGTGCATTCTAACTCCACTACATCATCTATCCCCAACTTTCCATTTGTATTGCTACCAACCCTAATTAAAGTTATCATCACCTGTCACCTGGATTACTCACAATAACCTCCTAAACTAGTCTCCATTTCCAATCTCTCTCCTCTCCAATATTTTAGCACCGTGCCTAACACATCGAAAATGCTTAAGTGCTTCATCTATCCATTCAATCTACCTTTGACATAGCAAGCAAAATCATCTTTCTAATGAACAGCTTCCTATTTTTAAAAAAAGAAAGAAATCCAATGGCTCTCTATTTCTTACAGTATAAAATATAAAATCCTTAGCTTGACAATGAAGGCATCAATGCCACAATCTGGCTTCAGTATTCCTTTAAGCTTGATTTCACAGGATTCTCTTTCACATTTCAGTCAAACTATACTACTAGATGTTCCCCAATATTTTCTAGTACTGTCCAACTGATAAAAAATGACCACAGGCATCATAAGATTTAATGACATAAGACCCACGACTAGAATCATGATAGAAAGATCTGACGAAGATCACTGGAGGTACAAACAAAAGTGATATCAGAGAATAATAAAGATCAACTGTAAAGAAAGAAGAAATATGTAAATTCAAGAAACAATGACAAGCCAGGCATTAAGGCACGATATAGTGGCTATAAGGTAACTTCAGTTATCAATTATATAGATGTCTGCTGGAACTCCCTCTAAGCCAAAAA